CCCAACCTTTTTGTACCTAAGAGCAAATACCAGAATATCGGTCGAATGGCGGGCACCATTTATTTTTTTAAGATAAATTTATAGTTGATAGACGTAGGTAATAATACACACTACATATAATGCTCAAAAAATTTTATTTTAAAAATTAATTTAACTTAGGAATTTAATTAGTATTAATATTCTTGTGTAAAATAAATGATTACTAAATTGCTTTTTCAAACCATACGAAGCATAAAAATTATTTATAAAGTATATAAAATACAGTCAATGTGGTCTTTAGCATTGCATTTCACTGGCCAGCTCTTCATAATTGGGAGAATATGGTGAAATTCCTGCTCGCAAGCAATCGTCAAGGTGTTCATCTGTAAGTCGGGATCTATATTTTGATTTTATGATATTTATCGTCGAAAGCAGTGATTCACACAAATATGTGGAACCAAAAAGCGACTTTATTTTATATGCTGCTCTTTTTAAGAATGAAATTCATTTCTGACAACTATATTCCAGAATTTCTCATCTGATATTATAGTTTTGAGGATAATGTCATTCTGAAGATCCAAAATTTCTATCTCCACTTCTCGCCTTACTTCAAGAAATTCTGAAATGTGTGTTGCTATTACAGTTACGTTTATTTGGTTGGTAAAATGATTTACAAAGTATATGATCAAATATCTCGATGATATTAAACTGTTGAAAGCGCTTTTCAAATTGATCATGTATGGAAAATGCACAAGAGACTTCATTTTCATATGTGATATCCACAAAACTAGCTTAGCTCTGAACGAGTTTATAGCTCCTATCATTCTTGCTATATGTTTGTCTATTCCCTTCAGCTCCAAGTTTTAATTATTTAATTTTTCCGTTATGAAAGACAAATCTGTTAGCCAAAGAGGATCTCTTAGATCTAAAAATTTTAGATTTTTGGCTGCAAGATAATTTTTAATCTCTTCAGTTAAATCTAGAAATCTATCAAGTACTTTACCTTTACTGAGCTAGCGTACTCATGTATGTAATTGCATAACATTTTATGGGGATATGGATAACTGAAATATTTTATCATTGGGCACAAGCAGCGGGCGCACCTAGACAGATCGACGGGCGCCATGGTGCTCCCCGGCATAGGGTTGGGGAACCCTGTTCTAGGCCAACAACATGAATCTTTGTTTGCAAAGAACTCCTTTATAATCCTTCCTTTATATTCCTTCCTATTTAAAATAAATCGTCAACCACCTCACTCAAGTATTTAAATAATTATTCAATTTTTTTTCTAAAAAAATTGCCTATTTGACCAGACTTTTCCACCCAGATGAAGTTAATGGATAAATGAACAATTTTTATCATTAAGTGAACTTACAATAAATATAATTTTGCACTGTTCATATATATTTTTATAATGTTTGTCCAATCACATTACAGTTATTAGTTTACCATAAGTTTATTTTATCACAATTTTTGAAGAAAAAAAATTTAATATTTTTATTATTTATTTTAAATTTATAATAAAAAGAGTATTATTGAAATAAAATTGAATATTGAAATAAATTATTGAAATATTTTAAATTTATAATTATTTATTTTATGATAAAAAGAGTATCATTCAAATAAAATTCTAGAATATTTAATTCTCTTTCACTTAACTGATATTCTATTTTGACTCTTTAACAGTTTGTCTCTACATTTAATTAAAATAAATGCTTTTCTGTAATTTTAGCTCTTTTTAGGCCTGGCTTAAATATTACAACTTGCTAGACATTTTGTGGTATAGTTAATAAAAAAATAGTCAGTATATTAGTTAAATAATTATATGAACACTTAAGATTGTTGTCTATGAAAAAAACTAGCAAATACTGTCTTAATTCATCTTTAATATATTTTTCATTTTAAGAGCATTTAGCTTGTGGATTTCTTTTTTTTTTCCTTACAAACTAGCTTAAGTTTCGCATTAAATTTTATTATTCTTAACTACAGGGTATCTGCTATATTTTAGATTTTCAAATTCATGGCTTTTCATGACTAATTCCAAGAATTTTTCATGACTTAACGAAGTTACTATTTTCTACGACAAAAACGCAACAATAAACTTAAAAAGCATTATAATAACATTATTCGAAATGACAGGTATAACCAAAACTGTCTTCATATTTATAGATTTTAAAAACTGAGTAAAGAAAGAGTTGAAACAATAAAAAAGCTGGGGAGAAAAGCAAATACATTTTTTTTTTTTGTAGAATTATATTCTAAAGATACTTTTCTTGTTCCTCAGAAAGGAAAGAAATACTCCTGATTTTTCTGTTCTCATTTCAAATTTTAAAAAAAATTCGCGAATGACTGGTTTGCTACAACTAGAATTTTAAATTGATAAAATTAAAATAAATAAATAATTAAAATTCATAAATCACAGAAGAAAAAGTTTAAAAGATTCCTTCTATAAATGTTTTTTCTTTCATTTTTTGAAAGAACATAATTTTTAAAGAACATGTAAGATCTTTTTATATTCTAATAAAATATGACTTGAGTGCTATTTTGTTAGGAATTCAGATATTTGGAACAGGATGAAATCGAGGGGGGGGGATTCCATCTTAAAAATTAGATTTTTTGGAGACCTAAATCCATGACTTTCCAAGATTTTTTTTTAAAAAAATAGTAAAAATCATGACAAATTTTGTTCAATGCTGAAATTCATGACTTTCCAGGTGCGCGGATAACTTGCATATAAAGTAAATCCTGGTTATTTTATTAAGAAACACATTTTTTTTTTCCTAAATTTTAAATACCCTTAATTCAAAATTTCTATTATTCATAATTAAAATATGGCAATTTTTTAACATTGCTTTATGTAGTTTTCTTTTGTTTTTATTATTATTGTTTCTCTCATACACATTCATCTTGTACAGCAAGCTGCTTGTTCCAACTCTCTTGTGAATAGAATTTCCTGAATCGCTCTTTATCTGATTCGTGATTGTAAACTCCGGATAAAATTTCTCCAGACGTAGTTTGAAGGCATGTAGAACAATGTGGTTGCAGATCTCTGCAACAGAACTTTATTCCATTGATATTGCCTTGTATTAAACTCTAGGTATATTCATTATAATGAACCTTGGGTTAAATTTATTTTTTGTTTTAATGTGCAATAAAATATTATATTGGTTAATGGTTACTGTTTCACTTTTTTCATTGTTATTTAATTACTTTGAATTACATCAACTTAAAAAGATTATTTGAAAGTCTTTGAAACATACAAGACATTTTCATAAATAAATCACGAAGAATCATCAAATAAAATTATTTTCAATAATTTAAAAAGAATTGGCTAGGCAGATAATAAAGCTTTTGAGTCTGATTTCAACTACAATTCACCATTATACAGAAAATAAACATTTGTAACATTATATAGTTGATACAACTGTTAGTATGATTATTTGGTGGACAATATTTTTGTTGTTTTTATCATTTTACAGCAGAACCCCAATTTTATGTTGGTCTAGCATTAACAAATGCACAATAATATAAGATCTGGGTTAAAAAAAAATTTTAGTATATTTTTTAAAAAATGGAGATGAACTACTAGAAAAAAATGTGTTATCTTTACATATCTTTTTTAATTTTAACAATATCGCTCTCAATAAATTGTTTGCAAATTTGCTTTATAGTGCATGCATTAAATCAGATATTGAAAATAAATGGGATATCTTGCAGTTGATATATCGCCATCGATTTCGAAAGATCTTCAGACAAGCAATTTCATTTCGAAGGGCCTATGCTTTCAAATAAGATGTATAAAAAAAAGTCACGAGACAATTTCCACATGGAAAGCAATGCAGAGGCTCATTAATGTTGTGGCAAGGGTTCAGTTATAATGGTAAATTGAACATGCCTTTCTCACAGGCTGATAACCAAAAATTCAAGTTCATTTACTCGCACCTATGTCTGTTTTTCCAACAAGAGAATGCTCTCATTTACACTAAACTCTTGTGGCGGTTCTTTTTACGGGGGGGGGGGGNGGGGGGGGGGGGATAATAGAGTGCCTGGCATGAATGACCTGCCATTTCCAGCAACCTCCAAGAAAACTATCCTCAGTAAGACTTAATATAGAAGAAAGAAAAAAAGATTTCTATCTGCAATAGAATATTAGACAGCCATAATTGAAATTTGACACAATATTAATACTATCTTCCTCTTGGGCTTGGTATGTAATATCACCCATTTTAAGTTAGTTGATTGGAAATATGGATATTTTGGCTGCAAGAAGTGGCTTTATTTCGATGGGGCACTACTTCCCCCTCTTTCACTTACTTGAAGTTTTTTTTTTCCTGTTCAGATGGAATAGGAAGTGAGTTAGTCTGTACAAATTTGATCAGATAGACTTTCATAATAAATATATGTTAGAATCTCATAGCATCGATTGCTTTGTGTCACACTGTAGCTGTAACAGCAGAAATAATCTCATGGCTCATTTCATTAGAATAGTCAATATTTTATTTTTAAACGGGGCGAGTGAGTAAAATATAAGGACATAGTTGTTATAGGGAGAAATCTTGAAATCTAGAGAAATTTTTTAAATAAAACCGATGTAGTCACATAAGGAACAAAATGCTAAAAATAGACAAAAAGGTCCACAGCTGAAGCCCTTGAGTGTTTGCAAAAGCCAGGATATTTTGTTAAGAACATTAAAAATCTGCAACCTCTCTGCTATGAAACGATAAATAGCTCGCAAAAGGCAATTTTAAGAGAACTTTATTTTACCCTGCAACAGTAATCGTAATTGAAAAAGAAAAGAAAAAAACCTGTGTGCAAATGCATTTACATTGAAATAAGCATAACACTTTTCTGCAAGTACTTAGAACAATCCTGCAACCTTTATCTCAGTTTAACACCTTCTGCTTTGGGAAAAAGCATGTTATATAAGTTCTAAAAGACATTTTTATAACAAAATTCAATTAGTAGTTTCAAAATATCAGTACTTATTGGACTTAAATGCTACTACTACCACAATTCAAAATTTTTTTAGTACTGACTCAACTCTTGCTACATACACAGAAAATGGAAAACCACACTTGATTTTAAAATGTAGTAACAGAACAAAAAAGAGAACACCAAATCACATCTTTTTTTTTTATTAGTCTTCAAGAAACATTTTACTGCCATGCAGTAGTGTCAGTAGAAGCAGACCAATCAGAAGTTGGTGCAGGTTGGATTGGAGCAGCTGCTGGTGGAATAGCGGCTGCAGATGTCCAATCTCCAGCAGAAGCAGACCAGTCCTCAGTGTTGTCAAATGCTGTAACTTGTGGTGGTTCAGCAGACCACTGCAAGAAAAATATATTTCAGATGCATTTAAATAATGGAATTAATTTAGCAACAGAAAAATTTTGAATCAGTTAAATTTGTAATTCATAAAGAAATAAGTTATTTTATAGTTAAATAACTTTTTTAAAACAAATTATTGCATTATGCTTGATTTAAAAAAAAAAAAAAACATCTGAAATCACTAAAAAGGTACATAATTTATAAGTATAAAAAAAGTACATAATATATAAGTATAAAAAAAGTACGTAATATACAAGTATATTTAAAAAAAAATTTAATTAAAATTAACCAATATCTAAAGTATCTTATCTTAAAGGGAAAAATTATCTTAAAGAAAATATTAGCAATAGTATTCAGAATTAGACATGTAAACAGTGAAATAATTAATTATCTAAGCATTCATTAATAAAAAAACAGCATATGCCACACATTGAATAGAATACAATTACATAATTTTATCAAGATAAAAGGACACACATTTATTTAGAAAAATAAGGATATATATTATTATAATGGGTTAGATAGATTTTAAAATTTTGTATAAAACTAATATTGATCTAAAAGATCATATTTTCATTCTACAGTCTCTTCTGAAAGAAGCCCTGATCATGAAGAGAATATTTAACTATTTTGTGGTCAGCAGTTTACATATTTTATGTCTAAGTAATCTGGAACACTAACAGCTTCCCAGAATGAGGTCAGAACCAAAAGACACTCAGTTGTTAATTCATAAATTAGTTACAAATTAGAATACTCATCCGACAAAAACTAAGTAACCTACAGCCTTTAAAACTCTGTTTTCAAAAGGGCTATGAAGGCCTGGAGACACGTCAAATAGAATATTACAAAGCGGGAATTTGGAATCTCGCAATTCAAATATGTGGTATTTTATACCATGAATATACATGGTTCTTTGTTAATGTTTATCTAGCAGTTAATGATATGGATCCCCATGCTTTGAAATCTAGAAATATCTAATATAATACATGAATCATGCATTTGTGTAATTACTTATAATGCGAGACCCTCATTAATTCATGTAGTCGGATAAATTGTTTTGCCCATAGTGTTTGCTAGATTTTTTCAATAGTATTATAACGCATGCATGAGTAATTGCTTATCGACACCACTCACAAGGATTTAATAATAAATCCAGGATTTTATTGTTAGATTTTCACATGGTTTGATTAGTGTTTTTTCCCCTCTCTTTTAAATATATTATATGTACACGAACGTTTGCACTACATTGAAATTGATTTTAGCTATATAATTCTTTTGTAATATATTTATAATTCTTTTTCTCTGCACAAGTTTAATAAAAAAATTATCTAGATAAAGGTTTTCAGCCTTTAAAAGCTCTGATTTTAAAAATTATAATCCTGCAATCGTTTGTTTTAGACAATCCTTGAACAAGTGATGTGCATTCATGACCACCAAATGTACTTTTCTATATATTCTGCATGGTGACTTAATTACCAAGGAGCTGGTGCCATTTAAGATAATTATATAACAAAAAAAGATAGAAAGACAAATTATGAATCACATTGTTTTCATGTAACAAAGGAAAGAGAACAAAGAAAAACTTAAAAACATGTTTAATTTTAAAAGGCTATTTAATACAGACAAAGCTAACATGAAGTTCAACCTTCACTAAGTAATAAAAATTTTATATAGTTTGTACTACGATCAGAATCTTAATACATTCTTACAGAAAATTAAAAAGTTTGGAAAAAGTATCAACTTACAACTAGGGGCAGATATTTTACAATAAAGGAAGATAAAAAAAACAAAATTCGACCAAGTTATGAAGTAAGTGAGTCAAATAAAGCAAAGAAAAGTTAAACAAATTCTACTATCTAAATTTACACTTACGTCAGTAACTTCTGGTGCAGCTACAGCTTCTCCACCCCAAGGTTCAGACTGTATATCAGCAGCTTCTTTAACAGGTCTATCAGCTTGAACAGCAGCTTGCTCTTCTTTTTCAGCCTAGATAAAATTGTAATAAAATTAAAGTGAGCAAAATGTAATCTTGAAAGTGCTTCAAACAAATATTTAAATGAAACTTATTTACCATAAAATGAGAACTTCTTTAAAATTGAGTTACATAAACTATCTTAACTTTAATAGAAATATAATGAAAGAATCTTGTTCTTTAACCAGACAAATACGAAAAGTAAATTACTTACTCCACCAATTACAATTTATTAATATATTTAATTTCTATCAATTATTTCTTTGCTTTTGATCATTCTTTCAGAGATGCCAACTTACTTCGAACAGCGGGTAAATATTTACGAGTGGTAGTCTTTGATATATAATTCTTAGTATAGTAAATTCGATTTATAGTGCTTTCAATCGCCATTACTTCTAAATAATTCAGACTTATATAACAAAACAGTTTCTTACGATTAAGTCTTGTTTAACCTTCTAAAAATTGGCAAAATTAACAGATTGATTTTCATCTATAATAGGAAATTTTATATTGTAGTTCTCTACAGTTTTTTAAAATAATTTGTCAAATATGAAGCAGTTGGCATATCTGGTATCTTGTTAACCCTCAACTACTAATACAGGGTTCCCATTCTTTTTACAAAGCAAAAATTAAGGACTTTAAAAATAGTATGACCGTTTCTCATTCTAGACAAGACAGAATATATTGATGAAAGAACCAGTATATTAATGAAAGGACATGCTTTCTTCCCTTGTCTGTAGACATTCCTTTTAGTCTCTCTAAAATGTTTTACCCTCCATGCAGTCTATCAAGGTGATAAAAGAACGACTTTTTGTTTTAAAAAATTGAACTGAAAAAATGTTCCTATCAACTATAATTATGTTGAAAAATTAAGGACTTTTAAAAACCTTGTACCAAAATTAAGAACTTTTATTTTCCAAAATAAAAATTAAGCAGCTTTTAAGGACCATGGGAGCCCTGAAATATTAACTTAAAACAAATCTTTGAAGATAAATATTTTTAATCGTAATATGTTTAGTCTAATACAAATGAAATTTTACTCAAAAACTTACATCTTCAGGATCTCTATAGAAATAAAGATCAACCATAACATCCCATTTCAATTCACGACTGATGGTGCCTCTCATTCTAAGAACTTCTCTTGCTAGCATCCACCACATTAATCCAATAGAATGTGCACCCTAGAAACAAACATGTCAGTTATTTCTTTCTCAACTACATGAAGCAAAAGAGTTAACTAAACAAACAGACTCACCTTGTTGTTGCATGGAATAGCAACATCTACGTATCTTAGAGGAGAATCGGTGTTGCAAAAAGCGATTACTGGAATATTGACGTAAGAAGCTTCAGTTAATGGTTGGTGGTCAATACGCGGGTCTGTGACAACTAAAAGTCTAGGCTCACAAAACTCTGCTTGGATTTGATTAGTGAATGTTCCAGGGGTGAATCGACCAGCAATAGGAGTGGCGCCAGTGGCTGCAGCGAATTTGAGAACTGCTCTTTGTCCAAATGGTCTGGCAGAGATAACACAAACGTCAGCTGGGTTTTCAATAGCTACAATAGCTCTGGCAGCAAGTAAAAGTTTCTCCCAGGTCTTCTTCAAGTTGATCAAATAGATACCTAAATAAATAATTAAATATAGTACAGAAAATTAAAAAGAATGTGGTTAAATATAGAACACAGCATGAACAAAAAACACATATTACCAAGTATTGAGACATTGCAGGAGGTTGGGGAAAAAAAAGAGCAAGACATGAAAGGAAAAAAGATTAATAAAATAAAGAGTTGCTGATGCAAGATTTCTTTTAAAATTATTCTATAAAAAAACTACGTAAAAGATAGATTGTAGATTTAAATCACCAATATAAAAATTAAATTGATTTTCACAAATATTGCTGTAGCAAGAAGTATATTAGCAAAATTACATTTAAGGGAATTGCACCACTTACGAAGGATAGTTTACCCATTAAACAGATATAACTTTAGTCGAAAAACACAGTTCCAAAATAATAAGTAATTTTAAGTAGCATTGATACTTTGATTTTCCAGTATTTCTTTAAATAATAAAAAATAAGGTGTCTCAGATGTAATACAATAGGTTAATTCTACAAGAGCTAGTTTTTTTTTTTTTTTTTTTTTTTTTTTTNTAAAACAAAAAGTTTTAAATTTCTAAAAATTGGAGTTAGATTAAATGGCACAGGAGTTTTCTAATTTATATTTTTTTTATAAATTTAACGCATTTAGCCCGCAGACATGGTTTTATTAAAGTCCTTTAAAACATTATGTTTTCAAATTACATCTTTATATTATTAATCTACAAACAAACCAAAAAATAAAAATTTCTTGATATATTTATGTAGAATAGAAGACGGATATACTATTTATAGGAATTTACTTTATAATCCATAAATCAAACCAGAATTGATAAATTTGATAACAATAATGATTTAATGAGAATTTGAATTTTTAAGGATCTTAATATGTAACTTTGTTAACATATAAATACATAAGACAAGTGCATGATTTGCTCCTAAATAAATTATTTTATAGTATTAACATTTCTCTGTAGCAGATATATATTCGACTACTTATCAGGTAAGTTTAATAATGTGTGAAATGAAATGACCATCCAAATATATCAATATTTTATCACAAATTGGTATATTTGGTAATTTTTACTTTTACACAGACAAAAATGTGTTATTTAAAACAATTTTTTGACCAATTAGTTTCTGATCATTCACATATTTTACAATAAAAACCATTTTGTGCCTAAACTTATTTATGATGATTAAATTTTTATTAATTCTAATTTAAACATTAATTTTGCTGCTCAAAAAATGAAGCAAAATCAAATTTGCAATCACATGTAACATACACAAGTAAATATGAAACAAATGAGGTTTGTTTTTTAATGTAGAAGGTGAAGCTAGGTAGGTTTCAAACTGTTACACTAATGCATGAAACACAATGAGTTTAGCACCTTATCCATTGAGCCATTGTTGTTCATTGATTACACACACATACTTCTCATATTTAAATGTTTAAAATATTTTTATACATTTTAGTTCGTACTTTTTTAAAAATTCATATTTAATATAAACTAAGGAGAGGTACGATCTGTTATAATCATCAGGATATAAGAGAATGGTAATTGAAAAATTGTGGATAGTGTTAACGCATCAGCAGTTGAGAAGACACAAAACCTTGTGTTTCAAGGTTTGTATGACCTTTTACTATTGAAAAAAAAATAATATATATATAGTTTCACCAAAAAAAATTTTCAAATGAAAACCTTATCTGCTTTTTAATAAATGCAGACCTGCCAACATTGTAATCTGCATGACCTTACAATTCTGAGTTAGTGTTTTACTCGACATAGTGTTATACAGAGTGTTATTATAGGACCTTTTTACACAAAATTAAGATCTGTTACTAAATACACTTGTCAATTTTGAATAAATTATTTTTTTTTAAAAATTCATTGTGAAAACAATAACAAAAACATTTTTTAAATCTTGAGTATTTTATTATACAATTGTTTAAACACATATTTACACTTAATCACAATTTAAAAATTAAATTTCTAGATTAATACAAAAAGGAAAAAAATTAAATAGACTTAATTAAAAACAATTATTGCTTTAAATGTTCATATGTAGCAGACTTAGCTGCTTTTAAGAATCCTTTATCGAAGGTCTGCTCATAACAACATCCAGTTTGCGTGGTTTTGGCAATCAGAATGTCCTCTAGAGATTTATCAGACAAAGAATTTCTGAACTGTGTTCTATTTTTTTTTACTATGCTAAATACCCTTTCACATTCTGCATTACTGTGAGGTATGCTTAATATAGCTACCATGATTTTTGCTATTCTACTGTACTTCTTGAAACATCCATCATTGGATGTTATTTTAGAAANATAAACATTACTACATTTGTCATTAACATGTCTAAATACATGTGCGGCCCTTCGTTAGCCAACCCGCTGTGCAAGTGGCCCTTCACTCAAAAAGGTTGTGCACCCCTACCATAAGCTATTTACTTTATAGTTTATAAAGCAAACCAGAATTGATAAATTTGTTAATGATAATGACATAATGAGAATTTAAATTTTTATATTTATATGTAACTTTGTTAACATGTAAATACATATGACAAGTGCATGATTTGCTATCATATATATTTAAATGAATTATTTTAAAGTATTAACATTGATCTATGCAGATATATATTCAATTACTTATCAGGTAAGTTTAATAACGTGTGAAATGAAATGACCATTTAAATATATCATTGTTTTATCACAAATTGGTAAGGTCTGTGATTTGGATTGTTGATATTTTTACGCAAACAAAAATATGTTACTAAAACAAGTTTTTGACCAACTAGTTTCTGATCATTCATATATTTTACAATGAAAACCATTTTGTGCCTAAACCTATTTATAGTGATTAAATTTATATTAATTCTAATTCAAACAACGAAGCAAAACCAATTTTGTAACCACATGTAACATACACAAGTAAATATGAAACAAATGAGATTTGTTTTTGTATGTAGAAGGTGAAGCTAGGTGGGTTACAAGCTGTTACACCAAGGCTTGAAACAATGATAGTTTAGCACCTTATCCATTGAGCCATCGTTGTTCAATTACACACACATACTTCTCATATTTTAATGTTTACAATAATTTTTTTATTTTAGTTCATACTTTTTTAAAATTCAGATTTAATGAAAGTGAAGGCAAGGTACGATCTGTTATAATCTTCAGGATATAAGAGCATGGTAATTGAAAACTTGTGGATAGTGTTAACATACCAGCAGTTGAGAAAGACACAAAACCTTGTTTTTCAAGGTTTACATAATGACCTTTTACTTTTGAAAAACTAAAAAAATTACACATGAAAACCTTATCCGCTCTTAGTTAATAAATGCTTCAGTTTAATTTATCCATATAGAGACATTCGTCAACCTACAATTACAATTAAGTTAAAGGCATGATGCAACAAATTAATCTTTATTTGTACATTAGACTGTTTCTTGTTAATGACACTTCTGAATTGAATTCATTTAAAAAAAAGTTTTAATCATACATCTGCAGGCATTATGACGATAAAACTATTTTTAATGTGGCTGATAACAGTTTGAAATGTACTGTTCAGATATATATTTTTTGATGATAACTGTCAACTACTTACCATCTGATCTCCTTTTAAAAACATATTGTTCCATTTGAAAATCTAAGTTTTCATTTCCTATGTGAGTTGAAGATGCCAAAAATTTGGTCACATCTTCATCTTTTAATGCTAAGGATGGTATTCCTCCCGACATTTTTATTAGCCTTTAAGAGTAACGATGGCTAACCTGTAATGAAATGTGTTGCTTTTAATTATCTTACGACAGCACATAAATGTATATCTTAATTTTTAATAATAATTACAACACTGTAAGAGGGTAATATAAAAAATCAGGAGTCTGTTAGAAGAAATTTGGGTCCGTTCACCGACCCTTCACATTTTCTTTTAATCTAATCCTTCACAAATTTGTTTATCTTCATTATTAGTTTAATAATAGTAAACCCTTCCCGAGGGGGGGGGGAGTAAGACGGTTCCAGACAAACTAAGTTTCCCTAAGTTCAAATTCTAGATGTAGTATTTTAAGAAAATATTTCTACTTTTACAAACATCATGTGCACATTCATATTAAATCATATATATGTATTTTGCAAATAAATAATGGATTAATTTATATTTATTCATAAATTAATTAATATAATTATTAATAAATTAATTAATATTATGTACATAGATATTTATTTCTGGCAATTTTTAAAATAAAATATTATAAATTAAAGAGTCGTTTAAGTTTACTTAATGCGTAACACATTAAAAGTGATACATTACTAAGTTATGCTATTTCAAATATGTCAAATGAAATTAATAAAAATGTGAGTGATTTTGTTTCCATTATTCAACTGAAATGAATATTCTGCGTTCGGCAGTTTAGGCTAAATCTCTAATTCAGTAGCAGCAATTGTTGAGCAGAATCTTATATCTATTTACAATTTAAAAACTTCTTGAAAAGGTTTTTAGCAATTTTTGCAACAGGACCCTATTTGCACAGATTCACAAAAGCAGTTCCCTGGCTTATTCAATATTCACAAACTATGAATAGTTTTTTCACAATTTCACAAAATGTCTCGACAGATCCCTGAAAATGAAAACTGTGAAACCTTGGTTACATGCACTCTTGGAACCTACAAAATTGTCTGCTTAAATGAAAGGTACCCTAATAACTAAGTTTCATCACTGTAAACTGTTTTTAGAATATTTTCAATGAAATAGAAATAATTAAATAATCTATGATAACCATCTACAAGGATATTTATTTAACTTTTTATAAGAAAATGAAAGAAATTTTCAGTGGGGAAGAAACATCGTATCATTTCGGCTTGTGGGGTCTCATAACCTGTGTCGTCCAGGTGAAAAGTTGCGGCTCTTCGATTGAGCAGTATCATTTTCTCTCCTCGTGAAAATAGGGCAAGGTGAGAGGAGGAAGATTGATTCTTTAGATGATAGATTCTTTAAATAATAGCACAACAATATTTTTAATTATGAATAAGGCAAAAAATTTATATGCTTAAAAAATGGTGAGAAGTTTCATTTTTTCTCCTTGCAATTTAAATCAGAAAGCTTTCTTTTTTTCTTCAAATTAATGTTTTTTGTTGCAATAGAAAATAATGATGATGTAAAATATTGTGCTTTTTGCTATCAGCAATATGGAATGGAAAATGAGAGGGAGATTTCCGTATCATGATCTGCAGCAAAATAATTGCCAAGTCTTGGAAACTTCAGGACAGTGGCTCACGAAAAACTAAAAAAAAAAAAAACATCACAGAAGAGGACTAACACAAAAGGCATAACCTGTACCCTCACCTGGGCAAATATCTACATAATTTTTTAAAAATAAACAGCAAGTTTGAAATATTCCCATTTCAGCAAGACACTTTTAATAAATATACATGTTTTAAAGTGACAAAAAACCTATTAGGATTCAGAGCTCATTCTAGGCAGAAAAAAGGGCAGGGTGCAAAAGTTTAAAAAAAAGAGCAATACTATTCTAAAAAGGCAATAATTTCTTTCTATGGGCCTTACACGTTCCATTAATAAACATTGTCAATTTTTTTTAAACTAAAAGTACCAAAGCAATCACATTAATTACTAATTTTTATTAATAAATTAACATATATAGATCGAGTTAATGAGATAATTAGCTTAGATTGATTAATGCACGCATATATTAATAAAATAATAAATGTATGTTTTTAAGTGTCTGTAGTTATGATTTAATAATTAAAATGATTAATAATAATTATGGTTTAATGATAGTTGAAGTAACTGCAAACTTTCAAAGACAAGTGCAACAAGGGGGTGTGATAGCTATTTTTCCTTACCCATATAAATCTATGTATTGACAGCAATGACAAACTAAATAAAAAGAGTTGAAAATAAAAAAGGGTTGAGGAAAGAAAAGGGCAAAAAGGGTATGGATTCCATTATATCAAGGGCAACAAGGTGCTGCACCCTGTTTACCCTGCCTAGAATGAGCTCTGTAGGATTAAAAAAAATTGTAGATAACTTTTTTTAATGAATATATTTTCATTATTTAAATATAATGGGTGGTATTCTCAAGTTTTGCAGGGACAATCTAATTATTTCCTTTTTCGCATTTTGTGAATCATCATCATACTGAGAAAAAAATTAGTAACAACCTTAAAACCCGTAGGATTAACTACGGAAACCATCCACGGCGAAGAAAAAAATTAGTAAAAACTTTAGAACCCGTAGGATTAACTACAGAAAACATCCACGACGAAATCACGCGAATCTAACCCATAGGATTAACTACAGAAAACATCCACGACGAAATCACGCGAATCTAACCCATAGGATTAACTACGGAAAACATCCACGGCGAAATCATGCAAATCTGACTTCAAAAAAGGGACACTAAACATATTTTGTCAAAATAAATAACAGAGTATTACAAATATGCTATTTTAAAAATCTGTGTGGAAATAAGTGCCTCCCCCCAAAAAATATAGCGACAGAATCATTCGAATTTCTCTTAACTTGAAGCGTAATGAATGGTTTAAACTTATTAACACATTAAATAATTACTATTTATAATTTAAACATGAATAGTTTAGAATACATCAAATATTTAAGATGCCAATAATCAAAGATATTATAATAGAAACTAAACTCAGTGGCGCGACAGCCCTAAAGGGCCAAGGCCTACTATGCACATCTTAGTTTTCTTGACCTAGGGCTCTGGGGTGCAGGAGCAGATGTTCTGGTCAGGTGGTCAGCTGAACGCGGAACCCCCAGTGTTTAGTTTCCAAGCATGCGTGGTACTAAATATAATTATAGAACATTAAACTGCAATTCTAAAAAGTAAGAATTAAAGTTGTAGTTATAACCAACTTAAAGTTCGTAAATAATTATAAAAACAATTAATGCAGAATATGATGAGTGATGCAACGTCGCTTCAAACTTATTTATAAAACGTGAAAATCAATATCAATAAATGTCGAAAATGCAATCGAAACACTACATGCATTTGTGATAATATCGGCGCAGCGCGAGCGCATCGAAAAATGATTATTCAAATTTTATGAGTAGAAATAATATTAGCAGAGAACCGGAATTTTAAAAGCCCCATGGAATTCGGATACGAATATATGCAAATTAACGTAATTCTTAGCACGTAAATTAATTTTAATTATACCTAGTTCACTAAAAACCATACCACTAATTTATATTTTAAAATTTCAAGATACAAAAAGGTAAAAAACCATAATTTTTATTTCCACGTGTCTGGATGGGCAAATGTGTTACCGTAAATTTACTTTCTTTTAACATAGAAATGTTTAATCTTACATGGAAAAAACATTATTTAAAGTGAACACATGTTTAGCAATAAACTAATTTAAATTATTTTAATTTAGTAAAGGAATAATTATATGAATTCACAATACTTACGAATTAAAATGCCACTTGGGATATCTCTTATGACGACGAGACGGCGAGATTGAAATTTGCAAGTATTGAACGGTTACGAGCAGCGAGCGGAAAGTAAAATAAAAAGGAAATTTGAAATATTGATTGACTTTATAATTTTTGATAATATTTAACAAAACAATTAATATTAAGAATAAAACTAGTGAACATATGTTTATTTTAAATTTTGAAAGGAAGGAATAAAATAAACTATCAGCATGATGTGAATAAAAATCTGGCAACAGATTGAGACGCAAGAGGAAGAGAAGGTCCTATCTTCCCGATGGCAACAAAAAACCGGTTTTCAGGTTTGCCTTATTTTTGTGGTTTATCTTATTATTGGCGTTTAAAAAAAATTTACTACCATCTTTTTTTTGGTCAATGTTTAGTTGTACTAGGTCTGATTTAAAATATAACAATATACTAAAATATAAAAAAAGGATAATAAATTATATATTTTTTTAAGGTTAATAAACTTTCAACTCGATTTAGAAATATGTATTAACTTAGTTAATTACTTATTAATAATTAATTTGATAATTTAATTTTACAATTCTAAACTACTGGTCCCGCAGTGGACTGATCGTTA